CCCCACATCCCCTCCCCGCCCCACACACAAAAAAACTTGCATGAAATAAAAATATTAAGTGATTAGACCTTTCAGTGCAGGTAAGGAGGATCTCTAATGGAGGAATGAGTACTTCTCTGAAGTTTAGGTATGCAATAGGAGAACTTACAAAGAGCAATAAACATACAGATTGGTATAGCCTGTAGCAGAACTCACAAAGAGCAATAAACACACAGATTGGTACAGCCTATAGCAGAACTTAATTTTGTATATTATCTGAGAATGTAGGAAGTCTGTCTAATCTAGTCTCTTATAGTGAATTTTTTCATCAGAAAAATAAAATGCTTTGCTAAACCTATTAAAAATAAAATGCTTTGCTAAGCACATAACAAATATCTATTGTAAAAGTTAAAATGTAAAATCGGTTCCCTAAGTCCCACCTCTTAAAAATATACCGAGTCTATGAAATAGTGATAATAAGGCTAGTTCCAAATTTTCGGTCCAGAACTTTATGTGCAACTCAAAACAATTTAGCTATAAAAACTCTATTAAGCTGAGTTAAAAAGATTATCTCTAATACATAACTAAAAAGTCTTTTAATTTACAATCTCTTGCTAATAAATTGTACCAGGGCATATAAGCATACAATTTACTGAATTAGACTATAAATATATTTCTCATGAACACTAAAATGTAGCTTCTCTGTAATGTTCCTATTAATTTACAAGTTAATTTTTTAACAAAAAACAAATCTTCAAGAATATGGCCTAATTAAGTGATTAATTATAGTTATTTTTTTAAAGAGAAAAATTACCATCTGTATTCTCCTCACTAGAGCTTAACTGAATACTAAAGTCTACTAATCAAATCAAGAGTACTCAAATCAACTGAGAGGCTATAGGCACAACCATACTGCACTATGCTTGAGATTGTATTTAAGGTATAATGGGCAGAGGTGGGATGAATTTATCTCATGCAATTATTAGCCAATTTTGAATGCAGTTTTGTTTGAACAATTAAGTAATTATTTTAAAAAGAGTCAAATACTAGTTTTAATATTGACTTCAACCATTTGTTTAGCATTCGTGATATTGTGATTTATAAATAAACATATATATATTTAGTATTCCTCCCCATTTCTTACATAGATTGCCTAAAACCTTTGGAGTTTTCTAAGTGAAAAGAATGATAAAGATGTCTTGATATTAGCAACAAACTCCTTTCAATCACAGCTGAGTTTACGTTAAGGGGTCACTTTTGGAAAGCACCTAAGTATGGGGGCTGGTTGCCAAGAGAATCAACCTGCTGATTGGAGGGGTGGAATGTTTATTCTCACACCTCTTACCTCTAGGGAGAGGAGAGAGGATGGACATAAAAGCAATCATCAATACTTAATGATGTAATCAGTCATGCTTGTATAATAAAGCCTCCACAAAAACTCAAAAGGGTGGGGTTCAGAGAGCTTCAAGATTGGTGAACACATGTAGGTGCTGGGAAAAGAGCATGCTTGGAAAAGAAATGGAAACTCCATGCTCTTTTCCCATACCTTTCCTTGTGCATCTCTTCCAGTTGGCTATTCTTGAGTTACATATATTATTAGAGGTTATAATAAATCAGTAATCTAGTAAGTAAAATGTTTCTCTGAATGTTGTGAGCTACTTGAGCGAATTAATTGAACTCAAGGACATGGTCATTGGAACCTCCAATCTATAGCCAATGATCCTTTAGAATAATATTTACAGACATAAGTGCAACAGTAAAAGACAATCTGCCATATATATGAGTCATTGCTCTGAAGTGAACCATGGTAGTTCTCAAATTTTGATCATTAGGGAAGGGGCACCAGATGGTACCAGGAACTACAGGTATTTGGCAAAAATAGCAAGCAAAAGAATGAGTAGTTAAGACTAAAATCATATTTAAACAACACTATAAACAGCAAGGACAATTGAAGTTTTCATAAAAGGAAGAGTCATAATCATCATAGATTTGTCAAGGCCTTAAATACCAAACCGTCTGGTCTATTCTGTCATTTCAGTAAAACACATTATCTGTACCTTCATAACTCAAAGAGGTCTGACTACAGTTTTGACTGATTTTACTGAAGTTCTGACTGAAATGGCAGGGCGGGTGTGTATGGACTCCTATGGATGTGCCTTGAAAGAACAAAAGACTAGAAATAAAATAGGAAGTCCTAAAAGTAAAAAAACAATCACATCATAGTGGAGATGCAGCAATAACAAGCCAGCATTTTTAGTTAAATGGTGTGTTAAGACAATCTAAAACCAATAAGATGAGAATCACAGGTAGGTTTGATCAAAGGTCATATACAGAGACTATCAATAAAGAAAAAGCTATCATGAACAAATGTCCTGAAAGTGGCTCAAGGAAGGAGCAGGAGGGAAAAAGAAAGAATTTTTTTTTTTTTTAATTAGCAAAACTAGTAATGTTTCAGAGCAAAGATTGAAAAGAAAATATATCGGCAAACTTTAAGAGGGCTGGATATGTTTAATACTTGATTGTGGCAATGATCTCACAGATATGTATCACATATATGTCAAAACTTATCAGAGTATACACTTTAAACATATTTAATTTATTGTTCGCAACTATACCTCAATAAAACTGTTAAAGCAAAGTCAATACATTTGTATCTTCTGTCTCAGAAATTTATCTTGTGAGACATTTGGTGTAAGTTCCCTATCTCCTCTTTTAAGCAACCAACTCTTTAAAATGACTTAAGTCTGACAAGATAAAAATCCATACTTTTCAGCATGGAAGCTCTCATGTTGGCTTTAGGGTAGAAAGCCTGAAAAGTTTTAGAGTTGCAGAAAAATGTCCTTTTCTCAAACACAGTCTTCAAAAGGTTATGCAATAGAAAAATACTAATTTGGTTCAAAAAGTTTCCTAAGAAAAATATTTTTAAAGATAATATCACAAGAAACATTTCAGATGACAATTACAGAGTTTTAATTATCTACAAACTTCCAAAATTCCCTGTAGATAAAAATGCAATAACAACAGATGGCAGAAAGTTTGGAAATCACAGTAGTAGGCATAACATCTTAAAATGTAGATACATACCTAGAAAAAAATTAAACAAAGCCTTATATGTAAGCACTTTGATCCAATGCACATATATAAAATATGTTATTTTTCACTAATAATGTAACTTTAATGTAGATTTCTTTAAGAGAAGCGTGCATCAAAATTCTCCCTGATTCTTTAGGAAAAAAATACCTTTGTAGATTTGGTGTCTTTCATGATGATGAGTATTTGTCAAAGTGGAAATTTTCTTTCTTTTGATTTAATTGGAAGCATTAAACATAAAATTTCTAAGCTAGACCAATATCACTTGCAAATAGATCACTGACCCTATGAGTAATTAAATTCTCTGACTTTTCTTTTTATAAGACCGTGAGATAATTAGACTAAAGCTCAATTGATTTGGTCGATTCATACATTCACTCATATATTCCTACAATCCTACTGAGTACTTAATGTATATTAAACAGCAAACTACGAAGCAAGGATTTAAAGTCAAATAAGAGCTAGAAGGATCCTGTGGCCAAAAATCTGCTATCTAGTGTGAAGGTAGAAACTAAATATAAAACATGACCTGATAAGTGCTACGATAGAATTCATGCCCATGGTATTGGGAAAACAGTCAAATTTACCTATCAGTAGACTGGGGTGAACTCAGTGAAGTTTGTACAAAGAAGTAATGTTGGAATTAATGAGGCAAGGAAGAAGTGATAGAGGATACAGAATGTGAAAGCCAGGAACTGAACGAACACTTTCTCTCTCTTTACAATAAATTTGACTGACCTTATGCTAATTTTTCTGTATTGCTTACAGATAAGCCAGTGAATAAATTGGGCTGAATTTATTATAAAGCAGTTACAATATCTACCCAGACCAGTTGGACAAAGCTTCATGGACAAAACAATACAATGATATAATGTGTCTGAATGATTAAATACAATTAAAGTTCAGTGCAGAGGACATTCTGAAACATTATCTAATATGTCCTTCAATAAATTTCCATAATATTTTCTTCATTGAAGTGTGTCTTGAACAAGAACCTAATGAGGTTAAGTTTATAAAGTCATTAGCGATTACTTAGTAAGAACTGGGTAAAGAGTAGTAACGGTGTATACTCTACAAAACACACTACTGTATATCTCCATCCCAAGAGCACTTGCTTTGACATAGTATTTTAGAATCCGGATAAAAAGAAATAAATTTGAGAATCTTTTCTTTGAGATGGATGGTCCAGAGATGTTGAACATGTGATGTCTCAGACTAAGAATTTGATGTCTCACAGGGCCATTTAGACTCTTATCTGAAACACTTGAAACCCCACAGTGCTTGTGCCAATCTAATAAATACTGTGTCAACTAGACTCCTGCATATGAAGTGCAGCTAATTAACAGTTAAATTATCTTGTGGTTAAACCTGCCCTTTTTGTAAACAGTTTTATTGGAACACAGTCATACCCATCCATTCACTTAAGAATTGTTTATGACTGTCTTTATACTATAAGAACAGAATAAAGTAATTACAACAGAGACTATATGACCTCGAGCCAAAGATATTTATAATGTGTGCATTTATAAACATAATTGCCAAACTCTTATATTAGACTTATGGGAAGTTAAGGTGGTTGAAACTATTACCAAAAAATTACCATATTTCTATTGTAAAAAGATGAAGAGATGAAGAAGTACAAATTAGTAGTTACAAAATAGTCACAGGGATTTAGAGTACAGCTGGGGAATATAGTCAATATTATTATAATGGCCATGTATAGTGCCAGATAGGTGCTACAGTAATCAAGAGGATAACTTCATAAATACCCAAAACTAATATAAAATAATAAAAAACACAAAATATAGAAGTAAAAAAAAAAATTAACGCTTTCCTGCCTACTCTCCCACCAAGTGCCACTCCTGCTGCATGATACTGGCTCTGAGCTCTGGCTAAGCCAGCACCACCGTTGTTTCCTTCTAGCCATCATCATGATCATTTATCAGGATCTCATCAGCTATGGGGACATCTACAAGGTCTGGGAGATCACTGAAGGCCTGTGCCTGAAGGTTGAGGGGAAGATAGTCAGTAGAACAGAAGGTAACATTGATGACTCCCTCATTGGTGGAAATATCTCTGCTGAAGGCCCCAAGGGTGAAGGAACCAAAAACACAGTAATCACTGGTGTTGATATTGTCATGTACCATCACTTGAAGGAAACCGGCTTCATAAAAGAAACCCACAAGAAGTATATCAAAGATTACATGAAATTAATCAAAGGAAAACTTGAAGAACAGAGACTAGAAGGAGTAAAACCTTTTATGACAGGGGCTGCGTAACAAATCAAGTACATTCAAAATAGACCATGTATAAACTTCTCTATGATCCAGGCTATATATAAATTATAGGGGAAACCTACATTAATTTTCCATTGATTACTTTTCCTAATCTGTAGTCTCTTTGGGGGAGTGAAGATGGAGTGGTTAAAACTGACTAAATAACAAGGTGTATTTTTTAATGGCAATAAAATTAAAACTAGGAGAGCCATTAGGCAATTGTCTGACCAGTCTTGTTTCTTTCAAGGATGTAATCTCAGATGCTAGAGAATCTGGGATGAGGAAGAATCAAATCCCTCAGAATTTTTCTGCCACTGTGAATTCCTTCAGTTTTGTGTATTGAGCTTCCATATGATTAATATCAAGCCTTTATATTATTAGGCCTCTGCAACCCATAATGCTTATCAATAGACTAAAGAATAATTAATGAACTTGTGTGGTGGGACAGGGGCTAAGAAGGAGGACATGACAAGAACAAACGACTAAAATCGATAAGCAGTTTTTACAACTTCAAGCAAACTCAATTAGAGGAATTCTGTTACACTTTATTACATTATTATTCATCTATTCCCTTTTCCAAAACATAATATATTTTTGTAAAGTCATTAGCTTTCTTTAAATTAAAAAAATATGTGTTTCTGTATATTTTGCAACTATCGTTTTCTCTATGGTGACTTGTAAGCAACACATGAGATTATAAACCAACAAAATATTATCCCTCAGAATAGAAGCATGATCTGAACATTTATTTTTGTGTTCGTCAATATTTGTTCTGATCCAAGGCATTTTTAAGTGATTAGTCAGAGACCAATCCTGTTCTGTGTTCTTTGTTTGCTTTTTTCCTTTGAATATTCCCCAATGGAGTTGAGAGAGAAGCATCTTTCCTCTCTAGATGCAAAGCTATATAAAGTAAGTGGAGCTCTGGGAGGGCAAATCCTTTACTTTATGGCACACGCTGATTTAAAACTGAAAACAAAATAGAAATTGAAAGGGGTGTGGGGGAAGAAGGAGGTAAAGAGGGGAATGATAAGAGCATAAATCCTGAAATATGCAAAACTCTAGTTCCAGTCGTTCCCCATGCTACTTCATTTTTGCCCTTTTTATACTTTTGTCATGTGAATCAATATTTCCTCTTTTCACCTTGATGCAGGAGAGGACAAATTCTCCCTTGGGAGGAGACCAAGCACTCTACTGAGAGAGAAGAGAGTTTTTGGCAGAGAGTATAGAAAGAATTCATACACATGCCAAAATTAGAGTTAAAATGAAAGTTTATTTAAAAAGGGGAGATTCTGAGAAAACATGGTGGAGTGAGAGATGTCTTCAGACCTCTCTCCTTGAAACAACAATAAGCTGAACATCTAAAACTCAACAAAAAAACACCCAAACTGCACACCAGCATGTCTGAGCATGGGATCTGCACATAAGAGCTACCACAGGTCAGAACCCTGAGTGTCAGGCAGTGGACTGGGAGAAATAACGAAGATGCCTCTCTCAGTCACCAGAGCTTCTTGCAGGAGGAGAGGGAGGGGTGAAGGTGAGGCAACTTCCCTGATTAGCCCTGCCTGGAAGTGCCAGGACTATTCTATGCAGCCGGCAGCAGGACTAAGTCAGCAAGACAGAAAACAGAGAAGCAGGACAGGACAGCAGAGAAACAACAGTTGAATTTTATAGGCTCTGGATGCAAAATGGAGGCTGAGCTGCAGCCCCCATCCCCCAACCCAGATTGCCTCTCCTCCGATACTCTCCAAGACAGATCACCATGGAGCCCCAGGGTAATCTGAGCAAACATTACCAAAACTGTTGCTAACACTGACAGAGACTGAAACTGAGAGTAGCAAGTGTGATTAAAATCTACAAGAAAATAAAGACGTTAGGCTTTATATGAAGCAGAGATCCAAGAGGCTAACACGCCACTTACTTGAAACCAAAAGAAAAGCACCTTCTTTGCAGCAGGCTAAAGAGATACCTTTACATAATAAATTTTCTTTCTGGAAAAACAACAAAATACACTTCCATTAATGGCCAGATGAAGAAATAGTCTATTAAACACCATGAACAACCAGGTGACAAGGCATCTCAGAAAGAAAGAGAAAAATCTCCAGAAAATGAGCTTAAAGACTTAGAAATATGCAACTTAAGTGACAGAGAACTCAGAATGGTACTTCTGAAAAAACACAGTGAGTTCCGAAACTAATCATATCAACAATTTCGGAATTTGAAAAAAACAACTAGATGAGCGGAGCAAGGAAATTGAAACCCTCAAAAAGAACAAAATAGAATTTCTAGAGATAAAAAAAAAAAAAACACACAGAGCAAGAGTTGAAAAATGAAATAGCAAGCTTGGAAAATAAAGTCGACCAAAAAGAGGAAAGGATCAGTGATATCGAAGACAGAAATCTAGAAATAAATCAGAAGGAAAAAGAGAAAGACCAAAGAACTAAAAATAATGAAAGAGAAATACTAGAACTAGCTGATACCATTAAAAAAGTACACATGAGAATAATGGACATTACCAAAGGTGAGAAAAAGGAGCAGGGACTAGAAAACATTTTTAGACAAATGGTGGACGAGAATTCCCCAGAAATATGTAAGGCAATTACTAACAGAACTAAAGGGAGAAACATACCAAAACACTATCTTGGTAGGGGACCTAAATACCTCACTGCAGGATATGGACAGATCATCCAAACGGAAAATTAACAAGAAAATAGCATCCTTAAACGACACATTAGACCAACTGGACATAACTGATATATACAAAGCCTTCCATTCCAAAACAGTTGCTTATACATTCTTCTCTAGTACACATGGAACATTCTCAAGAATCGACCACATACTGGTACACAGAGATAGCCTCAACAAATATAAGAGGCTTGAAATCATACTAACCATATTCTCTGATCATAATGCTTTGAAACTAGAGATCAACTGCAAAAAGAAATCAGGAAGAATCACAAATACATGGAGATTAAACAACATGCTACTGAAGAATAACTGGGTCAGGGAAGAAATAAAAAGAGAGATCAAGAGATAAATGTAAACGAATGATAACAATAGCACGAAATATCAAAACTTTTGGAACATGGAAAGAGCGGTCATAAGAGGAAAGTTCATATCATTACAAGCCTATCTCCAAAAAAAAGAACAAGCCCAAATAAACAACCTAATGTTTCATCTTAAAAAAACTAGAAAAGGAAGAACAAATGAGGCTTAACGTCAGCAGAAGGGAATAATCAAAATTAGGGCAGAAATAAATGAAATTGAGAACAAAAAAATGATAGAAAAAATAAATGCAACAAAGAGCTGGTTCTTTGAGAAGGTTAATAAAATTGGCAAACCCCTGGCTAGCCTCACTAAAGAAAAAAGAGAAAGGACACAAATAAACAAAATCAGGGATGAAAGAAGAGAAATTACTACTGACATCACAGAAATACTAAGGACATACAAGAATACTATGAAAAAGTACATAATAACAAATTTAATAACCTAGATAAAATGAACCAGTACTTAGAAAAATACAAGCTTCCTAGACTGAATCAAGAAGAGCTGGAAAATCTAAAAAGACCAATCAGCAGTATGGAAATTGAAACATATCAAAAACCTACCAGAACTTAAAAGTTCAGAACCAGTTGGCTTCACCAGTGAATTCTACCAAATATTCAAAGATTTAACACCTATTCTACTCAAAATATTCCAAAAAAATCAAAGAGGAGGCAATATTTCCCAACTCATTTTAGAAGGCCAATATTACTTTGATATCAAAATCTGGTTAAGATAACAGAAAAAATGGAAACTGCAGAACAATATCTCTCATGAATACATGCAAAAGTCTTAAATAAGATACGAGTGTTCGTTTACAGCAACATATTAAAAAGATTGTACACCACGATCCAGTGGACTTCATCCCAGAGGCACAGGGATGGTTCAACATATGCACATCAATTAATGTGATACACCACATAAGCAAATTAAAAAATAAGAATCATATGATCATATCAATAAATGCAGAAAAAAACCTTCAACAAGATACAGCATCTATTTATGATCAAAACAGTTAACAATCTTGATAGAGAAGGAAAATATCTTAACATAATAAAGGCCATAAATGACAAATCCTCAGCCAACATTATACTTAATGGTGAAAAACTAAAAACCTTCCCTTTAAGATCAGGAACAAGGCAAAACTGTTCACTATCACCACTGCTATTCAACATAACGTTGGAGGTCCTAGCAAGTGCAATCAGGCAAGAGAAAGATATAAAAAGCATACAAATAGGAAATACAGAAATTAAACTGTCACTATTTGCAAATAACATGATTCTCTATATAGTAAACCCTAAAGACTCCACAAGAACACAACTAGAAATAATTAGTAAATACAGTAAAATTTTGGATACAAAATCAATGTTCAAAATCCATCGCGTTCCTATACTCTAATACTGAAGTGTCAGAAAAAGAAGTGGAAGAAATAATTCCTTTTGCAATTGCAACAAAAAGAATAAAATATCTAAGAATAAATTTAACGAAACATGTGAAAGACTTATATAATGAAAATTACAAGACCCTATTAAAAGAAATTAAAGAAGATACAAAGTAATGGAAAGATATTCCGTGTTCTTGGATTGCAAGAATCAACATACTTAAAATGATCTTATTACTTAAAGCATTATACAGATTTTATTCAATCCCCATCAAAATCTCATCAGCATTTTTTAAACAAATAGAACAAAAAAATCATCAGATTTGTATGGAAGCACAAAAGACCCTGAATTGCCAAAGCTATCCTGAGAAAAAAGAATGAGGCTGGAGACATCACTCTGCCCAACTTCAAATTATACTACAAAGTGACAGTAATTAAAATGGCATGTATTGGCAGCAAAACATTCACATTGACCAGTGGAACAGAATCGACAGTCCAGAGTAAACCCATATTTATATGGGCAAATACTTTTCGACAAAAATGACAAAAACATACAGTGGAGAAAGGAAAGCTACTTTAATAA